CTGCTGAATGTGTAGAAATTCCACACGACGAAGTTGCCTTCCTATTGTTTTCCTCTAGTGTGACTGAGACATTTTGGGGGCAAAGGTAAAAATATCTGAGGAAATCACCCACTGTAAAATTATAGTTATAGCAACAATATAAATTAAAACTTTGTGCTTTATCCTTGTTATAGGAATTGTGACCAAAATGTCATGTTCTGACTCGTTTACTCATATAAACAAAGCAGTGCAAGAAAATTAAATGTGAAAATTAGATATGAATGAATGTGTGTGATTTTGAATAAAATTGGCCAAACCTCTCTGACTCACACGTAGCAGTTTCAGTACGTCTAATGTTATTTTAAATATCCTTCATTAGTGATTTCTGAACATCTATTTTCACTGAATTTTGAAATACATCTGAAAGTCAGTCCTTCTCAAGAGAAAACTTTTGTTCTAGACTCTACATTGTTGTAGGGTGGTAACACTGGTAATAGTGTCAGTCTCTATAGTAATGCTTCAAACTGTTTATTTCCATTTATATTTGATTACTGGTATAGTAAATTAATACTGTCAACACATGTGAACACATAAAAATGAGTAATATGTTGTCCCTATTTTCCAAATAATTTTTTCCTGCAATTTTATTCACACAGAAATCAGCATACACGATGAGGATGAAAATGAACTACATCAAACAGAGATGGAGGAAAAATTACAGAGAGAACGTGAGGAAAAGAAAAGACTTGAAGAGGAGTTGCAGAACAAGGAGGACGACTTAAAACATGTCAGACAAACCATTGAAAAACTGATGGAGCAGAAGACATTTCTGAAGAAGCAGAGAGAAAAACTCAACACACTACTGCAGGAGGACAAGGCAGGGATGAAAGAGGTCACGAAAAAAGAGACAGAAAGCCCATTCTTTGACAAAGAGAAAAAAATGCATAAGCTTGTAGATAAAAAATCTGACCTGGAAAAGAGAACAGAAGTACATGATGAACTGTTAAAGATGACAGAAAAGCTAATGGAGGAAACAGAGAACATTATAATCCAAATGACAGAAAGAAAGGGAAAGCTAGAAAAAGACAAGGAACAAATTATTAAACACTTGAGAGAGAAACAAAAAAAGAAAGAGATGTAGAAAAAACTGTCAGAGAAACAAGCGAGAAACACTGAACAGGTGTGTAAGTTTTTCTTTAATATATTTCTTGCTAAAGTCACATGTACAAACTGTCGTGTTGTGTCTTCAGTTGTGACCCTAACTCGTTTTTTTGCTTTTCTTCCTCAGCGCAGGACAGAGTAACACGACAAATAAAACATAGATTTTGCTGTTTTTTTTTCTCTTGCTGTCATTTTGCAATGTGATGCCTAATGTTTCTTTATTTGTTTGCTTTAAATTTATACTATATACATTTAAACAAGAAATGCAGTTTGACTGTATTTTATCATAGGAGATTTTGTTATGATAAAATGTATAAACATTTTTGTGATCCTTTAAATCTTTTGAAAGTAAGAATTACACTGTGAAAGCAAGAAGAAAATATGCTCTCTGTATTGTCATGAGACCTGGGGTAGAAAAAGATTAAAGTCCCCCATGGCCACCTCCACATCACAGCTAAGAGATGTTAAAATTTCTTAATAGTCAGACTTATGTTAGTAAAAGTGATCAAAGTTCTAAAACAGAGCTTTCATCTATTTCCTAATAATTAAGCATTTTATTCTTAATCAAGATAAATAAAATACAAATGTAATCAATATATTAATGACAAACATAGTTTGACTAATAGAAATAACTGTTTAGTTCTGTGGTGAAATGTGTGAGTGCTCATGAGCAGATTCAACC